TTTGAAATAAATTTATTGTTGGGCCTTTAACAGCGTAATATGCGCTCTAAATAAGCGTATCTTTATTTCTTCTTTTTTCCAAAGGGGTTAAAGTTTGGTTTTTGATGAAATTGGTTTGCATTGTATAATATCCGTGAATAACACAAAGATGTCATGTAAAAGTAAAACATTAGCATGATACGTTTTAAGGAGATTTAGTCCAATTCTGAAACTATGGACAAAACATTAGTGCTTTTTTTGTTTAAAGTGAGTTGAATAATTAATTATATAAGCCATTGATTTTGAAATTTAAATTTCAAAATATTGTTGAAGATTACAAAAGCATCTCTTTTTGGTATTCTGGTGATTGTCATGTGTAGGAAAGATATGAGACCCTATATTTAGTAAGACGAACACTTACAATGACGTTCACAAAATCAGGTCAAGAACATCGTAATTGTGTGCATTAGTGCGTATGGAATCTGTGTATTGAAAAAATAGGCAGTATTGATTTATCTATTAATAGTGGGTTCTTGTATAGCGCTCATGTCTGTCATAAGTGACACTCCTGGCGCTCCCAATTATTACCCTGGCTTTAGCAACTCTGATTTATATTCCAGCCATCATGTCCATAAAGAATCATTATAAACCAATCTTTCAAACGAAGGATGAATCGATGTCATTTCCTCGTTTATTTTCCTGACTATCTCATCTCTGATATTGGATCCTAACATCCGAGAGATAGGTGCACCACATTAATCATTGATGTTCAGGGCAACATATGGTGCAATTCTCATCCACGTCAGTCTTGTTTATAGAGGAAATGTGAAATGGTGACTCTAAATAGAATTCTAGGGCCATCATTCTGAATTCGGGTTTAGCTTCTTTATCCGTGTCGTACTCATAAATATATGACGATCAAATAAAGATTTCAAACACAGATATGCACGCATTGGACTAACAATTCAGATTAACGACGATTCAAAATTGCTTTAACGATTACAGTTTGAAATTAAACAATGAAAAGAAAGATAATTAAAACATGCTACTCTTTAGCTTTCAGAGGCAATTTCCCCCATATCAACAGACCCAAAAGCTCGCACAGTAGACACTTTGAAGTTTTTTGTTTGTTTAATGTTTCGTATTTTAAGTTTTCAAGTTATCATTTAAATAGAACTATAGCCTTGATAGCAGACTATAAGTTGAAAATAGACAAATCAGAGAAGTAGACTGCTGAAAGTTTGAATGAAATTCGCAGATAAAAAAGAAAAGGATATGATTTTGTTAAAGTTGTAAACACTATCAGTTGGGCTCTTCAAATTGGCCGAATCGGAAATGTCTCTGTGATATAGTGGCGGACAACTTTCCCAGTTGTTCCAACATACAAAATGACTGCATTTCGATTTTTCTCAAATGTATGACTGGGGAGGATCTTTTATCTTTAGAGGGCCTACACTAATATGTTATCCATAACATGGATTGAGGTAGCTCCAAGGGATAAGGCACTGAGGAGAAAAAAAACAGAAATTGGTGATATGTTTGTACACGACAAACGGAAGATTAATGCGTGAATACGTCACGATCCCCCGACCAAACTGCCAATATGTGGTTTGTGAAGATTTAGTGATATCATAATTCAAACATTCATGACTTTCTTATTATTTGTCCGATTTATTTCGAACTTTCTCTATTCTGTTTATCTTATTTTTCTACTTTCATGCAAATGAATTTATTACACGGGTTGGATTGCCCCCCCCCCCCCCCCAAGAGATAATTTAAACGCATCGGTTTACATTATGCTCATCTGTAATTTACGAGTTACTCGCTTTTCATTAAACCCCAATAGAGAGTCAATAATTCAAACGTGTTACTGCGTCACATAAGTATTTTCTCTTTTATTATATAGTTACGTTATGACATCGTGTTAATGTAAGGGCTTTATAAAAGAAAAGCACAGTTTGATTTATTTTGAAATATAATAAGTTAAAACCGCTTAATTACCATACTAATTCAATAGACCTACTTTACAACACAGACCTATAGTTACCAAGCCCCATCTGGATATTTCTGATATCTAAAAGAAAGAGGAGGAGAAGAATAAGTAGGGGAAAGAGAAAGCAGAAAGAAAAGAAGGAGAAGGGGGAGAGAAGAAGGAAGAGAAGACAGAAGACTCTCTCTCTCTATCTCTATCTCTCTTCTCTCTTTTCTCTATTCTCTCTCTCTTTCTCTCTCTCTCTCTCTCTCTTCTCTCTTTTCTCCATTCTCTATTCTCTACTCATCACTTAAGACTTATTTCCGTAACGATTTATTCTGCTGTGTCTCTTCTCTTCCCTTCCCACCATGTGTAGGCAGGAGATCTTCTTTTATTATTTCAGACTTGTTGTCGCTGTCTTTCTACTTCTACTACATGTCATAGAACCAATTCACGTCAATTATACTGAGAGAATGAAAACACATTAACGGTGAATGACAGTCCTATCAGCCTATCCGGAAGGTGTGAAAACACTCATTATCAAGCACTAAATCTGCACCTGCTTTTACTCAATTATTCAAATATACACATTTGAAAAGAGCCTAACGGCAAAGAGACAGACTCGTTCATCGTCTATTATTTCATCCCAACGCACAAGTAAATTGCATCGATTTTCGAGTTTAAAAAAAATCTACATTAAACAGACAGTACAAGGCAAAATATAGTATCTTTAAGCAAAAATGTACTAATAAACGTATGTTACGGTCATGTCTATTAAAATCACGAGTTATCTGCTATTCAATTATTTTGTTTCTTTAATTTTTATTATATTTTTTTAATTATTTTATTTTTGTCTGAATTTCTTTTATCTCGCGTGAAAAATTTCGTATCCTCCCCCCCCCCCTTTATTAATGAGAAAGTGGCTAAACCTGCATTTCTATTTATTCGTGAATGAATTCTGCAGTATATTATTTCTTCAACGGAGATGGTTGAATGGATGAATAAATAAATGAATTGAATTGAATAGAATTGAACGACGCACGAACTCGGACAACCGTGGTTTTTAGTGTGCAATAATTGCCTGCTTGTGGTCACAGACTATCAATGATTTCTTCCATCTATGACCATTATGTAGATAGGATTGTGTAGTTTATCAAGAAGTTACTAGCTAGTAACTTCTTGAGTATATCTTATACTTTCCAATGAGGTATATACGTGTCTGGGGAGAGAAGGAGCGGAGGAAGTGAGGGTAATGTCCTCCAACGTTTGTTTGCCTCTGTTGTCATTGACTGGGTATAAGGGTATAAAAATGTGATGAATACATCATCATTTCTCTAGGTTGGGTTTTCCTATCCTTTCAAAGGAGAAGGGTGTCTGGGGAAGGGGGAATATATGTTCCTAACGGTGGCTTACCTCTGGTCGAACTGATTTCAGATATGAATAACACATCCATAAAATGTTCATCGGTTGGAGTTTGATTATCCTGAGGTGTGTATCTGGAGAAGAGGAGGGGGTAAATGTCCTCCAAAGTTCGCTTACCTCTGGAAAGTTTTATTGCAAGTCGTACTAGATGGGATGCATTCATCTATCATAATTATCTATTTTTATCATTTATTTTAATTATGGGATATTATCCTTTCCATGTGTTCGGGAAAGGGGAGGGGAAGTAAAGTCCTCCAACGTTTGCTTACCTCTCATCAGATTGATTGCAGATAATATAATACATACTGGTAAGTGTTTTAAGGGATTTTTATGATTGGCTTCAGGAGGGGAGGGGGTAATTAATGTCTTCCAATGATAGCCTATCTGTGATCGGATTGATAGTGGATGGGAATCTTAATATGCATCCACATGATAGGTGAGAGCCGTGATCCGAATGTAACCTTTCCAAGTGGTTTATTTTCGCGGAATGGTTCGAGGCAGAGAGTAAGGTGGTTGTGTTCGCCAACGAGTGTTTACCTCTGCCTCTGTTTATTTTGACTGCGGAAGCCAGAAGGTATTGTAAATTCAATTCATTCATTTATGTTAACCGATAGGAATCGTCATCTGAGCATCGGACTTTTTTCAAGGAAGTGTGTGTCTGGGGAAAGAAGGGGCTAAAATTTTAATATCGTCCAACGGTAGCTTGCTTCCGATCATATTGAATGCGGGTAGAATATATAAATATATCGACCATTTTGCCTATCGGTTAGGGTTTTTGATCTGAATATACCGTTTTTAGATGCTTGTTGCCGGGAGAAGGGAAGGGGTAGTGGTACGAATATTCCTCCAAGGCTCACATACCTTAAGAACGATTAATTGGTATATGAACAAACATATTTCTTGCGACTGAACTAATGAAATGATTGATCAAAAGACAAATTGAATAGATCCTGTAATATATCAAATCATGTTACTAGTCTTGCAACCTTCTGTTTATGATCTATATTTTAATAAACTCTCTCTCCTCTCTCCTTCCTCCCATTTTTCATAACACGCACGAACACACACAAGAACACACTTTCTTCGCCCACACACATAACCTCAGGCTGTCTATCTTTCTTAGTCTCTCTCTCTCTCTCTATATATATATGTCTATCTCTCTCGCTCTCTTTTTCTATCTCTCTTTATGTTATATGTATCATTACAATTATTCATGCAGACCGATTCGACACCAAGAAGCCTTGGGGACAGTCCGACGGTAAAATGATATGTTCTCTAAATTGTCTCGTGGTTGGCATGTTGCATTATTGACATTCATCTGGGATTCTTTTTTTTTTTCTTGATTTTCTTCTTCTTTTTGTTCTTATTTGATATGAACGGAGTTTGCTGCTTTCTGTAACATCAATTTTCAACAAAAATTGTATTATAAAAATTAAAATAAATACTGTATTTTCACCCCCTTTGACTTTAATCAACATTTTGTTTTACATTCAAGGCTGTTGGAAGGATACTTTCTGGTTTGCAGGCTTGCCTTGCCCGACAATGTCTGCTCCAACATTAACCATAGTATAGTATAATTCTTACATGTTTAAAAATTAGTCTCTAAGTCAATATGAAAATTACTTACCTTAACATGCCACATATGACTACGGGAAACACCAGGTACCCGTACCAATCCCCTGCAGCCGAACTGGATGCCAACACGTACCCAACCAGGAGACCATTGAAGGAGAATGCTCCATTGTCCATTCCATCCCGATCTAGATGCAGGACTAGACCCGTCGTCTGGGCGGTCAACATGGCCAAGAGTCCGCAAATAGTCCGCCAGGGACTCTGCACAAATAGTCCGGCCAGTATGAGAATTCCACTGAATGGGTTGTTCACGAAGATGGGTTGTCCCAGTGCCCTGGCGCATGCTATGGGGAATCGGACGGGTAAGGGTTTATCATAGACCCAGTCACTGAGAGGTCGCACTGTCCCGGTAAAGAAAGAGAGGTAGTAGGAGAGACCTGTTTGAGTTGGCTGGAGATGGTTGAGACCCTCTTGACCAGCAGCTTGACCGTTATCGTCTCCCTGCGCTGGCGGCGTGGTCGCATCACCGTTCGGTATGTCCACTTCATGGTCGACACGGCCATCCATGTTGCTAAGCTTGCCCGAAACCAAAACAGCACCAAATTAACTCCTCACATATTTGCTAAGTAACGTCGTAGAAGAATAGCCTCTATTCGTCGCCATTCCAGCCGATTGTGTTGTACTGGGTCGATAATCTCGTTTACATGCGTGAAATTGAGCGTGGGTTTTTGCAAACAGCACTCAGCATGCTACCTTAACTATCTCAAACATCCCAAATTCGTCGCCTTTTACATCGTCCACGTCTCCTCGAGCTCCACACACAAACTACCTGTTTGCACACACTCGGTCTGAGCACTACACACACAGATTTGGCACCGTTTCCATTACCTGAGTGCACTGTGCTTATCTACGTAAGATTGTAAAATTGTGAAATTCAGAGCTTTCCCGCTCACCCAGTTCCCCTTAGTGCGTTGTAGTGTCCACGCGTACTTGACGTCACAAGAAGTCGCATCGGAAAGAATAAAATAACCTCATCAATTCTTATTACACCCTACTTGGTAAAGTTGATATGACAGTGTGCCTCTTCAATAAATATTTTATATCCTCCGTCTCTCACTTTCTTCTCTCTCTTACCCCTCCCCCATTCTCTTTCTCCATCTCTGTTTTTCTCCATGTCTATTATCGAGAAGCATGCTTCTGATATTTGTTTTATTTTGCCATGTATTTGCATCTTAGTATGTTTCTTTTTACCTTTTCCCTCATGAGGAACTGAATTAAAAAAATGATTTTTTTTTTTTTTTTCATTTCTAAACGGGATTTATCCAAACACATATGGATACCTCTTTCTTTGTTGGTTGGATAAATTTTGTTTACTTATTTTGTATGTATTTCTTTTTAATTTGTTTTGCTTGTTTGTTTTATTAACACTTGACATGTGCAGATTTCAAAGCGGATTGCGTTATTCTTAGACATTATTAATATTACTATCGCGGTTCGAGTCTCTGCGGGAAACTAATGTCCTTTGGCAAGACTTTAATCTACATTTACCGCACTCGACCCAGGTGAGGTTAATGTGTACCTGACAGGAATTAATGTATAGAAATGCTAGAGCACCATAATGTTAGTTATGCTATAAAAGCCGTGGAAAATTGTGGAAAGCCATGAGTGTCAAGTCTGACAGATATTAGCGGTATACGAGAACCCACTATTATCAGTATTATTATTATTTTTATTTCAAACCATTAGAATCGAGCCGTCGTTCATTTTCAACTGTCAGTATTTCCCCTTTCTCTCTCTCTCTCTCTTTCTCTCTCTCTCTCTCTCTCGTACTCCTTTGATGCCATCTGATTTCATTCGCAAAGGATGAAACATTTACATCAAATAAAAGTGTATAACGTGGAAGTTAATATAAAGTGACATAGAAAGACACAACCATTTCCAGAAATGTGAAAAGAGGAAACATTAAAAAAGGCCCAGTTACCTTTTTCTTTAGAATCTACAAAATAAGAAGGTAACAAGAAAAGTTCAGAATCATTTATCTATTGTTGTTAAATGCAATATATAAGTAATAGTTTTATCGACAATTTTACAAATTTCCTCTGACAGTAGTGCATTGCGTGAGCTTACAATGATTGTCTCAAACGAATTGAACAAGAACAATTAATTATAAAACACAAAAGAAAAGGAAATGGCTTGATAATACATTTACTGCCTATGCTCGAAAAATGCCCCTTTTAGCGGCGAGAGTGAAATAAAATATTAAGGGGGCGCTGATTTTTTATGGGGGCTGGAAAATTGGCGTTTCTCTTCTGATGGAATGCAAATTAACACTTCTATTGATCTTGGAAAGTATATGAAAGGGTGCCGTATCATTTTCTCCTTTCTCACTCTGAGTTGATTTTTCACCCGTTGATTGAGGTGGGGACAAGTTCCTCCTTGCCCCTTTGAGCTCCAGAAAGCCGCCACATTGCCTGATCTCAGATACGTTATCTGCTGACGATGTCAATATTACACTCAGGATCGTTGAGATAATTGTATAATTGAATCTGGGGCTTGAGATGAATATACAGCAATTATCGCATTTATATTGGTACCATAAACTGCGGGAGGTAAACATGGTCAAGAGAGAGGGTGAGAGGATGGAGGGTGAGAGGAAAGAGGGTGATGGAGGTAGAGGGTGAGGGAGTGAGAGGGTGGAGGGAGAGAGGGAGGGGAGGGAGAAGGTGGAAGGGAGATGATATATGGTGAGGGTGGAGGGAGAGAGAGAGAAAGAGAGAGAGAGGAGGAAGAGGGTGAAGGGGAGAGGATAGATGATGAGGGAGGCGGTGGAGAAGGGAGAGAGAATGGAAGGTGAGAAAGAGAGTGGAGGGAGAGAGAGAGAAAGAGAGGGGGAAGAGAAAGGGTGGAGAGAGATAGAGAATAGAGGGTGAGAAAAAGGGTGGAGGGAGAGAGGATAGAGGGTGAGCGAGTAGGTGGAGGGAGAGAGGATAGAGGGTGAGGAAGAGGGTGGAGGGGGAGAGAGGATAGAGGGTGAGGAAGAGGGTGGAGGGGGAGAGAGGATAGAGGGTGAGGTAGAGGGTGGATGGAGAGAGGATAGAGGAAGAGGGTGGATGGAGAGAGGATAGAGGGTGAGGAAGAGGGTGGAGGGAGAGAGGATAGAGGAAGAGGGTGGATGGAGAGAGGATAGAGGGTGAGGAAGAGGGTGGATGGAGAGAGGATAGAGGGTGAGGAAGAGGGTGAAGGGAGAGAGGATAGAGGGTGAGGAAGAGGGTGGATGGAGGGAGGATAGAGGGTGAGGAAGAGGGTGGATGGAGGGAGGATAGAGGGTGAGGGAGAGGGTGGAAGGAGAGAGGATAGAGGGTGAGGGAGAGGGTGGAGGGGAAAGGATAGAGGGTGGAAGGAGAGAGGATAGAGGGTGAGGAAGAGGGTGGAGGGAGAGAGGATAGAGGGTGAGGAAGAGGGTGGATGGAGAGAGGATAGAGGGTGAGGAAGAGGGTGGATGGAGAGAGGATAGAGGGTGAGGAAGAGGGTGGATGGAGAGAGGATAGAGGGTGAGGAAGAGGGTGGAGGGAGAGAGGATAGAGGGTGAGGAAGAGGGTGGATGGAGAGAGGATAGAGGGTGAGGGAGAGGGTGGATGGAGAGAGGATAGAGGGTGAGGAAGAGGGTGGAGGGAGAGAGGATAGAGGGTGAGGAAGAGGGTGGATGGAGAGAGGATAGAGGGTGAGGAAGAGGGTGGAGGGAGAGAGGATAGAGGGTGAGGAAGAGGGTGGATGGAGAGAGGATAGAGGGTGAGGAAGAGGGTGGATGGAGAGAGGATAGAGGGTGAGGAAGAGGGTGGAGGGAGAGAGGATAGAGGGTGAGGAAGAGGGTGGATGGAGAGAGGATAGAGGGTGAGGAAGAGGGTGGAGGGAGAGAGGATAGAGGGTGAGGGAGAGGGTGGAGGGAGAGAGGATAGAGGACGAAGGAGAGGGTGGAGGGAGAGAGGATAGAGGGTGAGGTAGAGGGTGGAGGGCGAGAGGATAGAGGGTGAGGAAGAGGGTGGAGGGAGAGAGGATAGAGGGTGAGGTAGAGGGTGGGGAGGAAGAAGAAAGAGGGTGAGGGAGAGGGTGGAGGGAGAGAGGATAGAGGGTGAGGGAGAGGGTGGAGGGAGAGAGGATAGAGGGTGAGGGAGAGGGTGGAGGGAGAGAGAGGATAGAGGGTGAGGGAGAGGGTGGAGGGAGAGAGGATAGAGGGTGAGCGAGTGGGTGGAGGGAGAGAGAGGATAGAGGGTGAGGGAGAGGGTGAAGGGGAGAGGATAGAGGGTGAGGGAGAGGGTGAAGGGAGAGGATAGAGGGTGAGGGAGAGGGTGAGGGAGAGAGGATAGAGGGTGAGGGAGAGGGTGGAGGGAGAGAGGATAGAGGGTGAGAAAGAGGGTGAGGGAGAGAGAGCAAGAGGGGGAAGGGAGAGGGTGTAGAGAGAGAGAGAGAGAGAGAGAATAGAGGGTAGGAAAGAGGGTGGAGGGAGAGAGAGAGAGGGGGGGGAAGGGAGAGGGTGGAGAGGAAGAAGAAAAATGGTGAGGGAGAGGGTGGAGGGAGAGGGTGGAGAGGAAGAAGAAAGAGGGTGAGGGAGAGGGGGAAGGGAGAGGGTGGAGAGAGAGAGAGAGAGAGAATAGAGGGTAGGAAAGAGGGTGGAGGGAGAGAGAAAGAGAGGGAGAGGGTGGAGAGGAAGAAGAAAGAGTGTGAGGGAGAGGGTTGAGGGAGAGAGAATAGAGGGTGAGGGAGAGGGTGAAGGGAGAAAGGATAGAGGGTGAGGGAGAGGGTGGAGGGAGAGAGAGGATAGAGGGTGAGGGAGAGGGTGGAGGGAGAGAGAGGATAGAGGGTGAGGGAGAGGGTGGAGGGAGAGAGGATAGAGGGTGAGCGAGTGGGTGGAGGGAGAGAGGATAGAGGGTGAGAAAGAGGGTGAGGGAGAGAGAGCAAGAGGGGGAAGGGAGAGGGTGTAGAGAGAGAGAGAGGGAGAGAGAGAATAGAGGGTAGGAAAGAGGGTGGAGGGAGAGAGAGAGAGAGAGGGGGAAGGGAGAGGGTGGAGAGGAAGAAGAAAAATGGTGAGGGAGAGGGTGGAGGGAGAGGGTGGAGAGGAAGAAGAAAGAGGGTGAGGGAGAGGGGGAAGGGAGAGGGTGGAGAGAGAGAGAGAGAATAGAGGGTAGGAAAGAGGGTGGAGGGAGAGAGAAAGAGAGGGGGAAGGGAGAGGGTGGAGAGGAAGAAGAAAGAGTGTGAGGGAGAGGGTTGAGGGAGAGAGAATAGAGGGTGAGGGAGAGGGTGAAGGGAGAAAGGATAGAGGGTGAGGTAGAGGGTGGAGGGGGAGAGAGGATAGAGGGTGAGGTAGAGGGTGGAGGGGGAGAGAGGATAGAGGGTGAGGGAGAGGGTGGAGGGGGAGAGAGGATAGAGGGTGAGGGAGAGGGTGAAGGGAGAAAGGATAGAGGAATGGGAGAGGGTGGAGGGAGAGAGGATAGAGGGTGAGCGAGTGGGTGGAGGGAGAGGGGGTAGAGGACGAGGGAGAGGGTGGAGGGAGAGAGGGTAGATAGTGAGGGAGAGGGTGGAGGGAGAGAGGATAGAGGGTGAGGTAGAGGGTGGAGGGAGAGAGGATAGAGGGTGAGCGAGTGGGTGGAGGGAGAGAGGGTAGAGGACGAGGGAGAGGGTGGAGGGAGAGAGGGTAGATAGTGAGGGAGAGGGTGGAGGGAGAGAGGATAGAGGGTGAGAGAGTGGGTGGAGGGAGAGAGGGTAGAGGAGGAGGGAGAGGGTGGAGGGAGAGAGGGTAGATAGTGAGGGAGAGGGTGGAGGGAGGGAGAGTGGGAGGGAGAGGGTGGAG